TAACTGATCCCTCATGCAGGACCAGTAGTTCTCAAGTCTATTAAAAAAAGTATTAGTTGCAACACATTAACATTAATCGATACTTACTTTACCGTGTCGCGTATTTCAATGTGAAAGTAGGTTTTAAAAAAGTTAAAAACTAGGGCAAATAATAATAATAAGCGAGTATATAATACGTGAGTAAATAATACGAGTAAATAAAACGTGATCAGATTTTATTGCGTAAGTTTATCTGATTTCTATTAAAGTCATTGTTACACAAACTCCTATCGCTGGTCGGCTAAGGTTATGGTTACTTTTTTGATACATTTATTTAGTATTTGTTATGAAGGTATCAAGAATACAATTTAATTAACGTTATTGTTCAAATCAAATTAAGGCTATACTTATTAGCAAAAAGTACCATACCCTTCCTCCCTCTGGACCGTTTAAGATTATCTTTAGATTTTTGAAATTTAGAGAGTGTATATTATTCATAGGCAGAAGTTTGTCAGATTGGCTGATGTAAATCAATTGCCCTTACGTATAGCTTAGACACGACATTCTGAAAAAGGTAAAGGAAAGAAGCTTCGTCTAAATTTAACACGCACTAAAACAAAAATAACTACTAACAAAAATAGCGTCTATTTTTTTAAGATTTAGATTCGAGTTAGGTATTTAAGATAATACGCAAGCTTATTAACATGAGAGATTTGTGTTTATACTTAAGATATTCTTTAAAATTTAGTTTAGTTTGTTGAAGCGTATTTTGGTTTATTGATTATACTGTAGATATGAATTAGGGTTTACAGATAGTAGGTTTAGTGTTCGGGTATGTTTTAATAGTGAATATCACTTTTTCTACTCTATATGTATCTATCTATTTACTGTGCGTATGTTTCAATATAATTCGTGTGTGTTCGTCGATTCATGTAAACTTTTCTTGAGGTTTTTCGTTTCGTATCATACACGAATAACGTACTGCAAATTGTGTAATTTGATTGGTTGATAATCATGTGTAGATCTACAAATTACTATCATAGAAGCTGGTCAATCAAACGAACTTCTGCCTATGAGTATATTACTTTTGCTAATAAGAAAGTATGGCGGTGAGAATTAGTAACACCCATTAAAATTATATTTTGAAGACATCTTTCGTATTCATTACGGCGCATTTTAATTAATTAGGCACAAATTTATTAGCAATTGACCAAATTAATCTACAATAACTGATAACAATATGTCCAACCCATTTTCACACCAATTTTAAATTTCCGTAATTGCGATTACAAATCCATTTTATTCGGGAACCCTTAAATCGTTGGGTTGTTAGTGATATCAACAGGCTACCGTTGCAATTTACTATCTGATCACTCAAATTTCATAGTAAAAAGTTTAATCACCTGATCTGCGTGACATCTCGATCGACTGATAGCGATAGGTAGTTTTAAGCTACACGTTTTAGCCAATAAAAAATGAACTTCTAGATCATATTAGATTATCCTCTTTTCTATACAAAAAAGGCAAGAAAGAATCCACCCATTACTTTTATTCTTTCTTTAACATGCCCGAAAATACTAAAGAACAGATTACTTCACCTAATGATACCTCACAATCACATTCTAATGGTAAAAAAAAAATGGTAACAAATATTGCGACCTCTGCAACTAATTTGCTTCATTCTGTTCTACCAATGGATGGAAAAAGTGCAGCATCAAATTTATCCACTTTATTGAATAACATTAATACAAATCAGAAGCCTGGAACTTCTTCAACATCAACTACATTTTTGCAACAAGAATGGATAACGGAACAAATATATGAAGATAAATCACATGGAAAATTTATTAATCACAATACGAATAAGTCGGTTAATGCAGGCTTTAATGATGCAGAATGGGAAAATTGGATAAACTCTTCCGAATATCTCGAGCATGATAATTTCTCTAAAGTGTCCAATCATAAATATCCTTTTCATCATCACTTTCACAATCAAGATTTTCACCATAGTTATCAACAAGTTGATGGTATTGAAATTATTGACTTCTTAAACTCTTCCAATTACACTGAAGAAGTATACGATTCTAAATTTAAGGATGATGAATGCATTGCCTTTAACTCTTTCAACAAATACGGATCTCAATTAAATGACTTTTTGGAAGCTTCTGATATTTTGACATATTTGACACAGACAAGATATACGGATGACGTATATGGAATGCCTATATTTTTGAAAAGGCTAGTTAGCGAAGCAAAGGAGGAGATTTTCAGTGAACAGGATGCCTCATATTCAAACAAAGAGGTAAATGAAAGCCATCGCAAGACAGGAATAGAACGATTAAAAATGGTGAGAGATCATTTGATTAAAAGAAAAGAGCGGAGTACAGATAATGAGATGCGCGAATGGTTAGATAACTGGACCGAGAAAGATATGGAACTTATTTGGAGTAACTAAATTAGCTACTTTGTCTCTGATTTACTATAAAAATAATAAATCTTCGATCATATGATTGGAAGTATTACTTATTTTGCCTTTTTAAATATTGTCATCTGCGGAATAATTCAGTCATCGTGAAGCTGATAAGCCAACCCACGGATGCTCCTAAGATGGCTGATATAAATATATAACTGCCAATTTCATTTTTCTTAAGATGAATAGGTTTTCGAATTCGATCGCTTTCGTCCATAGACTTTTCAAATTCTCTCATAAAAGTTTCGAGTTTTTTCGGTGTCATTTGTAATTCAGAATCATTGCCAGTAGCGAGTTCAAAATCTCTCATGACGTAATTAGAAAGTTTGTTAAATGTCGGTGTTATTGTTTGTGTCAATTCATCTACTTTTCCTTCTAAATTTTCAAACCTTTTCGTTAATGTATGTACAATTCCGGCTTCCGATTTACTTTCTTCATTGCCCGTTTTTTGAATAAGCAATTCTTCAAACTTATCAGCTAGCTTTTGTCGTTTTCTTGGCTCAAAGATAGTTTGCACACCAATGAATAAGATTACATTGAGTATCATTAAGGCAACGGTACCGTATGTAGATGCGCTACGAATCTTATCACTCCAGATCTGTTCTTCATGATATCGTAACATAATTGATCGAGCTAACTCTGTATATTCTTGTTCAACTTTTTGTTCACATCTCTGAAATTCTTCTCTGGCAGCAGATTCAGCCTGTTCGTTTATATGCTCGTTTTTGTAAAGCTGTGTAAATCTAGTAACATCATCATTTGACCATAAATGTTTACGTTGAAGTAATTCATTGATTTCACGTTGTGTTGAAGATCGCGCAGCGATAACTTCTTCATATGCGAGTTTAGCTGCTGCAAGACATTTTCGTGCTGTTTCGAATTCTTTTTCTATTTATATAAAAATATATAATAAATGTAAATAACTATTTCATTATTAATAATAATTAAATCAAAGGAATAAGAGATTACCCCTCTGAATCACCTTTTCTTTTAAGTTCTCCACCACGGTATATCCTGTCAATTTATTTAAATTATTTGATGCAATAATGAGTACATCCTGTGCATTAGTGAATTTCTTTATTCGATCAATTAATAGTTGCTTTTGTGCGTTGAGCTTAAGTTTAGATATTATAGTTGTAGGAACTTGCACTTTGGAAAGAAGTGAGGATATACTTGTGTGCAATTTGGATTCATCTTTAGTTTGTTGAAAATTTGTTTGATCTTTTGACTTTTCGTTTGCTGAAGTAGAATAACTATTATTTAGTGAAATTTTCATAAGACAATTAAAAGGTTTCTTATACATTATACAACTATGTTGATCGCGCGGTAAAATCGACGAAGTCCGTGATATACTATATTTGCAAAGCCATAACGACTTTACCGAATATCGAAATGTGGAAAACATGTATAAAAAAAAAAAAAAAAAAATTTCGAACTTTTTATCATACCCGAGATCTATTGGCGATCAAATTATATGAAAATCATTAAACTTCTAGTGAACTTCTAAATTTGGTACTTGAATATTTATGAAAAAATGCATGTACCTTAAAGGTTATCTCGCAACTTTAAAGTTTTGGCGGGTTGAATTTTATTGATATGATATGTATGCTCCTTCTGCTGACGATTCAATGTACACAGATTCTTCACCAGCAGAAACTAGTAATAATGAGTATGAAAATGGTCAACACGGAATTGGTGCGGTAAGAAGTATTCGGGTTAGTTGCATTTTCCAATTATTTCACATTCTTCCACAAAAAAAAAAAAAAATACCTCACAGTTAGTTTAACGTTTTATTGCTTTTTCTTTTTAAAAAATAATTTCATATTTTTTTTTTTTCGTATGAAAGGATATACTTAATGCTGATAGTCAGTCACCTATTAAACGTGAAGAACCTGAGGTAGATGTAACTGGCGAAGAACCGTCAGCGACAGAAGACCAACCGTCACCTCCAAAATTCGATGATCAATTTGGAGAAGTTGTTGATGAAGAAAGAGATACGATACAAAGATTGAATATGCGTCATCCACATAATAATACTGCAGTTAGAGATTACTTGAATAAAACTGTTGTACCCAGTCTTATGGCAGGATTAAAGAAAATTGTTAGAGAAAGGTAATGTAATAATTTTTTATAATTCGATTCCGTATAAATTTTTAACACTAACTAATATTTACTTTTTAAAGACCGACAGATCCCTGTGAATTCTTAGGCAGATACTTAATTGATCATTGTCAACATGATCATACTAAAGACGAATATGGTTCAGAAATGCGAGTAAAACATGAAGATACTGATGATTGTGAACAACACCTCGAACAACAACTCGCCAGAAACAAAGAAGAGACAGCAGTTCAAGTTTGGATGTAGGTTCAGAAATGGATGTTGATACGACGTTGAATACTTAATAAGATACAAGTTGAATACTATATTTTTTTGTTGCAATAGGTTCTTAAAGACCCATAAAAAAAAAAAGAAGAAAATTCCATAATAATAATAATAATAATAATAGAAGATTTGTTACATATTTTAAACCTTTAAAATTATATTAGTACTTTGTTAACATTAACACTTTGTAAAATTGATTTTTTTAATCATTCATTTTAATATTTCAAATAGTGTTTGTTATACTAATTTTATACGAGTTGCAATAATTTCAATAAAATCGATATTTTATACTTTTATTTCATTGCTTAATTAAATAAATAAAGGTTATAATGCGATAAAAATTTTGTAAACAAAAAAATCTATGCTATAAAAAAATTGATGAATTTTTGAATCAAAGTTTGTGTCTTCATTAAAAATATAACAATAATTCATATTTTGCATTTTCATTGAATAAGTAATTATCATGCAGTTGATGGAATATTTGGTGTCGTCCAATCAGGCACTTCACCTGTATATTTCTCTCTAGAAATTTCAACAACAGTAGATTTAAGTGATCCGATTAGAGAACCTTATAAAGTATAAAAATTTAGTGAGTAACGTTTCTCATTGTTTAAAAGTATAACATACATTTTAAATGCCAATTATTTTAAAATACTTTACCTCCAACCCAAGCCCGACAATTGGCTACAAAAACTTTACCACTTCCGTTGTCTTCCAAAAATTCAAAATGATCTGCAAGTCCACTTAAAGGTTTAAATCTTTTATCTTTATTCAAAGCACGAAGGACTTCCTGGGCAAACCTTTGTTGAAAATTGGGAAGTAATGTTGTTCCACCAATAAGGAGAATTGCTGAAAAAAGAGGACGACGAAGATGCATTGGTGTCTAGTGATTTATTGTTGAATAAACTGTTTAATAAAAGTTTTTATAATTATATACAATTACTTTGTAATCGTCGAACTTTAATACAGACCTTTAACAAACATTCGAGCGCACATCCAACTATACTAGACTCATCCTCATCCCCTTCAAAAAGAACTTCTGCACAACGCTCTCTAATCCAACTAGGTATAATTAAGGTTCCCATCTGCCGTTCACGACCATTCTTGCTTATAGTGATAGGATATGATAAATCTGTTGAAGAACTAACTGATGCGTATTTTTCTTCCATATCTTCGACTAACGTTTTTTCAGCAATTCCAACTGTCGCTTCGACCGTTATTGGACTTACAAAAATAAATCGAGTTTTTATATCTTCAAGCACAGCAGGTGTAAGATATTTGGCATGAACAGGTACTAAGTTTGTCGAAGGTGGAATAATCATGCTACCATAAGTAGAAATTAACTCTTTGAGTCGTTGTGTTAATGCACGGCCTGCTAAAGGAGTTGTACGAATAAAGGGTGTCAAAGGTCGTGCAGAAAATGTCTATTAACAAAATAAAAATAAAAATTTAATTATAGATAAAAAAAATATTTATACAACTCAAATTTATTATAAACTTACTGGCAATACAGTCGTCTCTAAATGTCCAACGTCTATTACCAAACCAGTCGTACAGCCTGTAGTTAACAAGGCCAACATGTGTGACGGTGCGAAAGAAATAGATGGCACCTACAAATTTAAAAATAAAATAGCATTAATAACCATACCTCAAAATAAGACATATTAATCATATTAAGAAACCACATACCTGCAAATTTTCAAACAATACTTTCGCGATCAATTGCTTCAATTTTAATGGCATCATAGGTGATTCGCATAATACAACTTTGCGTTGTTTAGGATCTGTTAATAGGTACCTTGAAAGACGATGATTAAAGTTAAGAAAAAAAGTTAAGAAAAAAGGAGGCGATCTGTATTATGAATAACTTTGCAAGTCGAATTATTTTACCTGAAATAAATCTCTCTTAAATAATGTGCCAAACGGTCATATAAAGCATCCAATTCATCAGGATTCTTTCCAATTTCTAAATCGTATAATTCAGCAAACTGTGCTATATTAATTGGTCATTCAAAAATAATAATAATAATAATTAAAAATGAAAATGTTGACATTCATACTTCGCCAATGATCCTACAGCCTTCTCCACAAGCTTTCACGACGCCTCCACTTCCATTAAAATCCGGATCCCAATGGGTTTTCATATTACCAGCATACACAGGAACAATATGCCTTGGTCTAGATTCACCACTAAATCCAGCTTTTATATATAAACTTCCTAGATCTAATACAATCCTATCTTCACCAGTTCCATAAATTGAATGACGACGTTGGAGAACTGTTGTCGCCAAAGAACTGTTGGTAGTGAAGCTGCTACTTACCGACGTAGAAGGAAGGACTCGATTTGAAGGCGTAACGGGAGCCGTTAATCGTGTTTGCGAGCCGCCGGCTACAGCAGGATTTAAAGAGGACGAAGAAGTGTTATCCATTACTAAAAATTTCTCGGCGTTCGCAAGGTTCGACAGTAGTCGTGCCCCCCCGTAATTCGTGCCTATATAAATGTCAACCAATCAGATAATTGTTAAAAGATCATATGATTAAACTACGGCAATAATTGGAACCGGTTTTATTTTTCTTATGTTAAAACCGATTTAACATAACAGATAAGAAAAATAAAACTGATTCCTATTTTTACCAAAATTTTGGATATTTTGACGCCGAAATTTGGATTAGTTGCTAGAATTTGGAAATCTTAAATTAGGTGTAGGGATGGATCAGGTCCTTGAAAGAATAAAGAAGTCTTCATAAATACGATAGTTAAAAATATCAAATTGCAATTACGTATTAAAAACAAATTATGTTGCATAATTGCTAATTTCGATAACAGATTTGACTACGTATCTCAGCAAGCAAATAGAATTGTTTAAATAACCAAAGGCCGTTTTTTAGGACCAAGACCGAACAAAAACATTAATGGACTTGTCTTATCAGGGATCAGGACGGACTGGACCGATCCATCCCTAATAAGTAAGTAAACTATTTAATCTTTTAATCAGCAGTAAATATAAAAAGTAATGACTAATGGTATTAATAAATTTCGCCAACAACCTTTTCACTAACAGCTAGTATTGGCTAAAAATTTATTGTAAGCGAATTGTACCAAAACCTTGAACAGTGTATGATTTTTTAATTTTATATTTCTTTATCTTGAAAAAAACAAATATCAGTGTGCTATCTCATAAAGCGCTGTGTACGGGAGAGAACTAGTGTTGTTAGAAGAGTAAATGTAGTATCAATTTAAAGAATAAAGAAGAGGGTAAAAAAAAATTCACATCCGATGCTAAGCAAAATGGCACGCAAATATTTGTGTTCCAACTATTTTTACACCCAGTGAATAACTTTTTAGCAATGCAGTGAATTTTATGATCATAAAACATATGACAGTAGTGGCGGAAAATAATGACAATTACTTGCCAAATATAGAAATTTTTTAAAAATTGATTAAAAAAAATTTAATATTATTTATATATATTCTTTAAAATATAATTAAAAATAAAAAATAAAAAAAATTGCTAGAAAATTGAATTTAAATTTTTAAAAAAATAAAAAAAAAATAAGTTTAAATTTAAGCCAAAAAATGTTAATAGTAAAATTTAATTTAAATTTTAGGTTTAATTTTAAATTTTTATTTATAAAAAATTAAAAACTTATTCAATTTATATAACAATTTTTATTTATATTTTTTAAAAGCTATAAAACAATTTGAAATTTTTATAAAATAGTATAGAAAAAATTTTTTAAAATTTTTTTTATTAACTTAATCTAGAATTTTTTTTATTTTTTTTTTTAACTTAGGCGATCTTGCCCTTCATTTATTAAGAGAAAACATACATGATGTTATAACAAAAATAAAACTAATTTATATTAGCTATATAACTGCTCTCTTTTTTCAATTCTGGACTCACTCAGCTGCTTTAGGTACTCAAGTACGATCAGCCGCAAAAGTGATTTTCCTTCTACTAGAGCAGTTTGCCTAAGCAAATCCATGCTATAGTGATCTATAGAAGGCTTTTCTGCGCCTATTCAAGATACTTTAGTTGTTCTTAAAACTTAACTAGCTTTCTTTTAAGCCTTTTTCGATCTATGTTTTTACTTTAGCTTCAGCAAGATTTTGAATTCTCTCTTCCTTGCCTATACTTGATTCTTCGTAGTTATTCTTACTTAATTTTTAGTTTTCTTTATTTGCTGTATTTTTTTTTTCAAGTTTATTATGCTTTCACTTTGCTTTTTTCTTTTTTTCTTTAAACTTGATATTATTCCTCTCTTCCTATTCTAGCATAATTTCGCAACAAAATTTTCATAGTTTTTCGAAGAAATTAGATCAGAATAATTCAGAGAACCAACTTATTGCCTTGTTAGTTTTGAATGCTGATCCTAAAATTTTTTTAACACTTGCTATGAGCTAGTTACTTGTTAAACCTCAAATATGTAGCTTTCTCCTGCTAAGTGTCTTAGCTACATTCTGCCCTAGAAACACTTCTTTTAAGGTTTGTTCTGAAATATCTATGTCTCATCTATCATCGATTTTTATACTCAACTCTACTATAGTCAACCTTTCAATCTTTCTTCAAATCCTTTGATATAATTGGCATTCTACAATATGTTCTAATGATTCTTCTTTTGCAAGATATGCTATACAAGTTTTGCTCTTATATAGACTTGAGTTTCTTTGGAAACATAGGTCTTTGGTTGGTAATAACTTATTGAGACACTTTATTCTGAAGATCAGAGTTTTGCTTTTTTTGATGCTCGTACATTTTTTCTTTAAAGCTTCTTTAACACATTCTATATGTTTTTCTAGTTTAGCTCTTCATTACTTTGCCTGCTTGATCTTTGACTTAGCATTAGTCTAATGTTATTTAGGTCTGCCTATTTGCATTCATATGATGTTGTTGTAATTATATTAACGAAAGATCTCAATAGGCTATTTATTAGCTTGTTTTTCCAAATTGGTATTACTCTTATACTACCTGTTGTAGTTCCTGTACTTCTAGTATTAGGCTAGATAAGAGTCCTTCTTTTGCTAATATATCAGCTTTGTTATTCTAGTAGTTCATACTATAGCCTTTAATCTTAATTAGCTCTAGCTCGATGTTTTTAGTTCTACAACAGTCTATTATCTGATTAATTAGACTACGATTCTTAGTTTTAAATATACTTCTAATATTCATTCGACTTTGAAACTCTTGTATTTCTTCTATCACTACATTGCTATCAGAATATAATCTCACTTTTGCACTAGCAGGAACTACTAACAAAGCTGTTCAAATTGCACCTAGTTCTGCTCGAGTTGAGAAAAGCCAGTTAGCTATTCTACTATTAAAGCTAATACTATTCATATTACTATTCTCATTCGCTACAACTCAACCTATACCTATCCTTTTCTCTTTTTTATCTCCTTCATACTCTGTCACTAATGATCCATCTGTATATATATCTAGCTCTTTTCTCCTTCTTAACTTCTCCACAATATCAGTTAGCTTGCTTTGTATCTCTTTATCACTAATTACTCTTTGAATTACTGCTTCTTTTATGCTAGCTACTCTTATTTCTACTTCTCCTTTCTGTTCTTCTTTACTCTTATGCTGGAGCTTCTTCTCTGCTATATAGACTGACAGGAGCATTTCAATCAATAGTATATTTCCCTCATATACTACCTTTTCTAGTACTTAGTGCCATGTCTTTAGCTTTTGCCTTGTTATACAGCTTGTGTCATTGTATCTTCTATATGTACAGCCCTCACACTTTCTAGCTAGTATGCTTCTTTCACTCTTGTTTTCTTTGATTCACCAGTACTCAGTTATGAAATGCTTATTTTCTTTTCTTATAACTTTGCTAATTTTAAAGCTTTTTTCTTTTTCAAAAATGATCCACTCTTTTTTTCTCTTGTCTGCAGATATTTTGAGCTTGTTGAAGCTTATTACATACTAGTTTAGTTCTGCTGTATAGTATTCTTTTTTTAGGCACCTTGTTATACTACAATCTAAAACTCTTTCTTCTATATACTTGAACTAGTTTGGCTTTCGATCTCTCTCTTTAAAGTCTCTAATATACTTTACTTGTTGCCATGTTAGGAGTCTATTGCTACTACTTGTTATTAGCTGTTCAAATATGAAAATGTTCATATTGTTGCTCTCTCTATATCTGTTAGCCTCTTTTTCATTTAGTAGACTTGAGATACTTGTACCTAGTACTTCTGAATTTCCTTCATAGGTTCTGCTTTCTTAAAAGCTAAAGCCTAGTTTCTTTCCTTTGTAAATTATCTTGTAAGCTAAATTAAATTTAAGCTTCGTATAATTTAACTTACTATAATTACTGAGGATGTTGTTTGTATTCATACAGCTGAGTTATGCTTCTTTTACTCTTAATCTTGTAGTGAGTCCTACCTTATTTTGTTTGTTTAATCACATGGTTAGTTCTGTAATATAATGTGCAAGCTGATTCTGCCAAATTGTACGTAGTCCTAAAATCTTCATGTGACTACACATACTATTCAGAGCTGATTTTGCTAGATCTATCTTGTTCTTAATTAATGTCTAAATAGGTCTTTATATTTACTTATATACAAATTTGGATAAAAAAGCTGTCTGGAGTCTGTACTCGATACTGGGCATGAGTACACTATTGTTTAGATAAATTAACTAGCTTACTGATACTTTTTTCTATATAATTGCTTTGCATATTCTTGTGATTTCTTTTATAATGATAGCTTTATTGTATTCTTTTCTACTTTTTTCTGATATCCAAACTCTGAGATGTCTTATAACTTCTTTTTCTCACTTTGCTTACACTAGCTCTTTGGTCTTTCCTATCAAAATTTCTGGCTGCAACTCTTTTTCTTTTAAGTTTAATATGAGGAGTTTGGACTTCTTGCTGTTTATCTCAATATCATTTAGCTCATAAAATTCTGCAGAGATATCAACTATTTTTTGTATTTCCTCTTTTGACTTTACTAGCTATATTGTATTATTTGCATAAGCTAGTACACTCTGTTACCAGCTTGTTATCTGTGCTTTGTTCGACTTTAAATCATATAGCCAATTAAGCTCCATTCTATAATCTAGATCTTTTTCTTTGCTAATTACGGTTAGTAGTGGATCATAGAATATTCACTACATAAGAGATGAGACAACTTCTCCTTGGTCTAGTCTATCTCCTGCTTCAAACTCCTTAGTTAGGCTATAATCTGTAATAACTTTAATTTTTCACTTATTGTATAAGTTAAGGAGGAACTTGGTTGTTAGATCAGGTATTCTTATTCTCTTTAGTGCTTTTTCCATCATTGTTAAGCTTACTGAATCGAAAGTTTTTTTCATGTCCTGAAAGAGGATCTATAGCTCTTTGCCTTTTTGTCTTGCATCTTCTAGCAAATTGTTTATAATATGAATTAGGCTTAAAGTACTATCATCTGACAAACCTGCAAAGTTTG